ATCTTAATTAATGCTACAAATAGTACGCAATTATTTGTCTGGCTTATATTTTAACACTAAATTTTTATTTTATTTTTACACAGCCCAATACTTCTAAAATCTTTTTCACAGTCTTTTTCTTTTACTCTTCAGTGACTTCGCTTTGAGAGTATAAATGTTCTTGTGCTGTTGTGTGGCCTGATCTTCTTTTCACTTTGTTAATTTATCTAGAACATATTTTGACTTACAAGGGAAATAGGTATTTAACATTTTGGGGAGATTTGAGTACCATTTATGAAATATCTCTTTCACTGAATTAAATACCTCCTCTTTATGTGTTGACTTTATACATGTTTTGGGCGTTAGTTCACTTTCTGATTTTTCTGCCCGCTTGCTTGTAGGTGAATGCAATCATTTTTAGTAACTAACAAGACCATAATATTAAGTGAAATAAATCAGAATCAAAGTTTAAATATTGTATGGTTTCTCTTATATGAGAAACCCAATGTCTAAATAAAGAGTAAAATAAAAAATAGGTAATAGGAAATAGAGAGATCTTTTTCAAATGGGGAGGGGAGCAATAATTGGAGGGAGGGAAGGGATTGGAGGGGAAGGGGGAGCCCCCCCAAAAGGGATGAAGATGTGCTGTGTTCATGTACAAGCTCCCCATGATAAATACAATCACTGCATACTGCAAACATGTACTAGTGAAAAATTTAACAAAAAATAAAATTTTAAATAGATATGAACATCTAAATCTTTGCGATCCCTTGGCTATTTTTTGTAATTTTAAAACTATTTTTTAATTTCTACTTTTATTTCTCTTTTTTAATATTTAACTCTTTCCCTTTGACTCTATGAATCATTGGTATAAACGTTTTTAAGTACTGAATTTTACCTTCCAGTGAATTTGCGCTCAGATTTCAATTCCTTATTGGATTGCATCATCCAATGCTTCCATTTCTGGCCACAAATCCTTATAGAAGGGCAGTTACTACATATCAACACAAAACACTAGTAACTGTTCATAAACATTTTTCTATACCCTGCTCTCCTAACTGTATTTCACCTTTTCTCCCTCCCTTATTGTATAATTTTTGTCTCTCAATCTATGTAGCTAAAGAGCTAAACTAAGTATGTCAAACTCTGGCAAGCAATACTTGGCCCAGCTGAAACTGCTCATGTCTCTTTTTTCATCCTATGGGTTTTGGTAAATGACTATATGTTATCAAACTTTCTCTGAAGAGCCAAGAGGTATCAGTGTGAGCAGTAATTGCAGCTGCAGTTTGTGATCAGTTTTGTCCGATCTCCATGGAGAAAACAGAATTCTGCCTTCCAAAGCCCACTTCCCTTAGGAGCAGCTCAGGGAGCAATGCCAGAAACTGTCACCTCCCTGGCTGTAGGCCCAGGGGTCATGAAGCCCTGTCTCTCTCTCGCTTTCTTCCACAGCTTGACAGGTGGATTTTGCATTGAAATCTAAAGCAATATTGTGTTTTATTATGGGGGAGGAGTCTTAATAAATGAAGGAATCAGCATCTGTATTTTATGAGTAAGTTTTGATCCCATTGATTTCATGTTTCCCTTGTCATTTAACCTGTCAGTGTCCTAAAGTGCCTGTTACAGGTCAGTCTCCCCTAGATGGTGGGAGTTGATGTAGAAGTTGTCTTAGAATTACTAGACAGCAACATGGTTAACAGCAGGGACGGTCAGCTTGTTCTACACACTGCGGACAGAAAACACTCCTGGCTTTATGCACCGTAAGTCTCTGTTGCAACTACCCAACTCTGTAGTGAAAAGAAATTACAGACTATGTAAATGAAGTGAAGGATTGTGTTGTGTTGCAGTAGACAAACCTATTCCATTCTTATCAAAAGGGGTGGTTAGCTCCACTGGGCTCAAGGGACAGAGTTTGCTGATTCCTGATTTAGGTGGCAGGTTCTTGAGCCAGGTTATCTGGGTAGAAATCTCTGTCCCTCACTTTATGGACATATGGCTTTAGGTAAGTTTCTTAACTTTTCTGTGCCACAATGATGGGATACCCACTCTAAAATAAGGGCAGTTACAGAATCTATGTTTAAAAGGTAATGAAGATTGAATGAATTAATGCAGACCAAACCCTGAACACAATAAGCCCTAAATTAAATGTTAAATGTTGTGTGTTAGTTGAGGCTGGTACACTACATAGGTCATTGATAGATTTATCACTGGGAGAACATCTCAGCTAGTTTAAAATCCGTGACTAATAGAACTCTTTGTTCCTCTTAATTTCTATTGTTCGCACCTTGGTCCTCCTTCACCACTTCCCAGTTTAGGGCCTATAAAGAAATAGAATGAAGAAGTCTTGATGCTGCCTGCTATGTTGTTTTATTTCCCAAAGGGGAAATTGCAGTGGCAACGGTAGGTTTTCCAGGGGTGCTTTGTAGCATAGAAAACAAGGCTGCTTTCTTACAGCCCCAGAAGTCCTCCTTGCATGGCTTTCTTTTCACAAGCTTTGTCAGTCAAGATCTATTTACTCTACGTCTTCCCAGCTAATTATTTCCAGCATGGCACTGATTGAGTTGTTAATAAAGTGTGAAGGTGCCTCGAAGATACATTCTGAGTCTCAAAGAAGCAGATCTACATCTCAGACTGCAAACGGCTGTGTCCTCCGATCTCCCCAATATTCCAGTGATCGAATCTCCAATTGCAAAATTAATCAAACTTCTCTCAGTGACAGAAACGTTAATTTAAAATTTTTGTCACAATTACTGGGAGTGTTACTGAAGTTTCTGACTTGTAATTAATTTCTCCTTCACTTTCTCCATCACTGGGTTAGACTCCATTGTAATAGTGATAAATGAAGTAGGTGTCTGACCTTGTTTTATTTAAAATAAATTACTCTACAAGAAAAAAAATTACCTTTAGGTAATCAACACCTTTTGATAAACAGGAGAACATGGGACATTAGGTACTTTATTGTTTCTCTCTGTGTGTCTCTTTAATTTGCGTGTCTTTGGTGATTGAAATGACAAATGGGAAAGGAGCCAGGTGAGTCTACTTTTCATGGTTGTGTTCCCAGGTGGAACTAATTTAGGCTGCGGTGTTGGTTTTTCTGGGTACTGGGGAACGCCAGCCAAATGAGAGTGTGGTGCTAAGGAGAAATTGTAAATTAAAATTAAAGAATCCCACAGGCTGAAGAGAAGGAAACAAGACATGTTTACTTGAACAATAACTGGGAAGTTTACTGCCCCCAGCGTAATCCAGCTCCTAGTTACTCCAGGTGTGGGCCGCATACCAGCCACACCGACGGTCCCTGAGGGCTTGCTAGAAGTGTGCAGGCTTAGACCCTGCACCAGTTGCTCTGCATCAAGTAAGATCCTCATGCAGTTTGTGTGTGCACTGGAGTTTGGATAGCCCTGGAGCTCAGCTGTCTATGAAGACAAGTGAGGTTTACAAAATTTGTGTACACCACTTGTCCGAAGAATAGAGAATGTGCATATTTGAATTTCAGAACATGAACAATTCAAGGTCTAAGGATGGAAAGAGATACAGATAGGAATTGGTTTTTGTAATTGCCCTGCAAGAGGGCCAGTTTGGGTAGGACTATTGTACAACACACATTCAGCTGAGTGAGTGCAAAAAGTAATGGAATTTCCCAGACCCCATGAAAAAACTCCAAGATAGCAGTAGAAGGGTGTGAAATGCTTTTGGAGAGCAAGTGGGTGTATTTGTTTGTTAAGTTGGAGTGATTGTTAGAGCCCGAATAAGGATTTATCACCTCTTCAAATTGAATAATGGGGGACGGGAGAAAGTTACATGGCTGAAGTGCTGGAGACGGAGAACAGGTCGGCCCCAGTGTGGGCTCTGGAAAGACAGCCACAAAGACAGTAGGGATATGGCCAAGACGGTTTCTAACGGTGGGGTCACTGACTGAATTTCTGTTGGTTACTTTCCTTATTAATCCAGTTGGTGATTCTTACACATTTGCCTCCAGACCCGATCACAGGTAAAGCTTATGACCAGGAAGTAGTGCAGTCTCAGGCCACATTCACACAACTCTGGACACAGCAAGTGCAGCTTCATAGCGTGCCTGGGAAGGCGCCTATTTGTCTTGTCATTATTAATAATCAAGTAGTTAAAGAGGCTAAGCATTAAAACCTTGTCCTCTGCTGCGGGTTCTGAGACCGAGGATTAGGCACACAGTGCTTTTCCAGGGAAAACAAGGCTGGTTTGGGATCTCTGTTGTGAAACCCTCTGTCAAAATTAATTAAGGGAATCATGTAATTACAATTTATGCATCTAGATGGCCCCCAATGACTTGTTTCTTAATGTGGGATTAGTTTTGAAACATGAATTAGCAATGAAAAGAATAAATGGAAATGGCCTTTTTGGGATAAAACTTAAATAAAGGAGCTTAAAATCTTTGATTTAATTACATCTTAATGGCAGTTATGGCTAATGTGGAACCATTCTCCCCTTTACACTTTGTCATGTGAGGTGTAAGCCTTTGGACTGGGGGCCAGGGGGCTGAGCTGGTATGATTGTTAAAACTTGGCCATGTCATTAATTTCTTACAGGTAGCAAGGCCAGGAGATCATCACCAGCTCCTCTGTTCATCGGCAGGGCCCCGTCTGCTATTGAGTTCCTCTGGCCCTTGATAAACTGAATTATCACTAACACACACATGCTGGTGAATATATTATTTTATTTACTAATGGAGATTTCAAATAACTTTATAACATGCCAGATTCGCTAATTATCTTTTAAGGGTGTTTTGGAGAAATTCTAAATGTACTGTAATAAGGCTACATAGGACCTGATCTGAACTGGCCTTATTAATTTGAAAAATCATGTTTTTTTTCACCTGTTCTCATTATTGTTCCCTGCCTTGAGTACTACCCAGCAAGTGTCCCTCATGGTAAGTTTTCCTCTTCCAGGCCAGTGTCACTTTCATGGAGACCAAGGTCCTATTGGGGTTTCTTCCTCCCACCCTTTCCACTGTAACCCATCACACGCCCTGGGAGATCTGAGTCATCACTGCACTCAGTGATGTTCTTAAAGATTCCAGTGTGGTTTTGTCACCTTGCTATTTCAACAAAGACCCTTTTCTTTAGCTGGGAGCCTCATGAGGGCACAAGCACTGGATCTAAGCACAGGTGCATCTTGGCAAGCAGGCTTCCTTCCACACACGCATGTCCAGTGAGCAAGGGCAAATTGGTGAAGTCCATTCTGTCATCAGTATGGGGTTGGTACTCAGAGTCAGTGGAACATGTGGACTGTGTGACTTACACAAAATTCCTGACTCTCCCACTTTCTGTGTGTGACATCCCTTCAAGGCCCTCTGCTAGGTTCCTTACCTGCCAGGTCCCATCTTATACTCTGAGGTTCAACTGCAGAGATTTTCAGACCCTTGAAAGTCTCCAGCCTCTCCTTCTTATGTCCTTACCCTTCACATTCCTGTGCTTGTTCTCATCTGCTCCTTCTACTCCTACTTCATCTGTCTGGAAAGCTTCTCTAGCTGCTCAGACTGCTTTATGTCCACGTTTGTTTCCACAGCATCTCATCCCACCTGCACACCCCCAGACTAGTTGGTAGTCTCACCTTTCCAGGCTGTGAGGTCACTGGGAACAGAAACAGGACCTGTGTTATTTAGCGTTTGATCCCTACCCGCTAGCACAATGGCTGGCGTATACCCGGCACTTGTTAAGCTGCATGGAAATAACAAGTTGCTGCTGCTTGTTGGTAGATAAACAGATTGTCATCAGTACAGATAATAGAGTTCCACATGTGGAGACTTTGTTAAGAATGGAAGATTGATGCTGAAAGACACTCCAAGCAAAAGACTTGAGATGTGTATGATCTATGGTCTATCATTCTACCCTTGGAGATGTGTCTTTGTCCTATGAGCAGCAGTGTCTGAGAACACCTCCTGGAGGAGTTGATATTGGGTATATCACTGACCCGGATTTGTAGTGTTAAACAGAATTCAATACCTGGAAGCTTTGAAATCTGCAAGTTCATGGAATTGAATAAAAATTCGTGTGTGTGATTGATGAAGGTGGATTATCTATCTCTGAGTGTCCCCCCACCTTTCTTCTGCTTCTCTGCATTAACTTGGATTTCAGTTTTGTCTAGTTACCTTTCCTTATATGGCTAAAGGTATAAGGAATTACTTAAACAGCTCGGTTGGTGAGAGATTGTGAATGCTTTAATCGCTGAGCTCTTAGATGTATACGGTATTCATTATGTTTCACCTTTTGGCTTTGTTCTCAGAAAATTCCTCGATAGCTATGTGTGTGAGAACTTACTACATCAGAGTTTGGAGGAACACATCTGAGTTTGTAGAATGCCCTGGAAAATAAGAATGATGGCAGTTACTGGCATTTTCTGGATAGTTCTTTTGTTTTAGGTACCAAATTACATGCTTTTAGGGATTATATCTTATTTACACACATTTAATTTATTAGAATTAGTTTAATTTTAGTAATTAATTAATGGCAGGTGATCCTTCCCCCATCTTACCAGAGATAGAATCAAAACCCAGAAAAAGTCACCCAGCTTGTTTGTTTGTTTTTGTTCTTGTTTTTGTTTTTCTTCTGGTACCAGGAGTCAAACTCACAACCTTGCACTTGCCAGGCAGGCGCTGTGCCACTGAGCTAAATCCCCAGCCCCCACCCAGCTTGCCCAACAGCATGGCTAGTGGGAGCTAAAATCAGAACTAGAAACAAAATTGTTTCTAGAGGCCATGTTCTTGATCAGTCTGCACGGGTGAGCTTCTCACAGGACTTACTTCATAGATGAAAAAGGGTCATAGAAGCTAAGAAACTTACTGAAGATCCCACAGTCCCCATGGTGCCCCAAACCAGGCTTGAAATAAAACTCTGCTTCTCAAATCGGTGCTGCTACTGCCCAGCTTTCTTGGTAGCCTATCATATTCTGCTTCTGGTGTCTTCTAGTTTAAAACTAGTTCTGTAGAAAACCTTCCAGGGAATCTACTAATAAAGTCTTGCTTTGTTTGTGCAGTTGCTTCAACAAGCAGCAGTATGTTTCCAGGAGCTGCTTGGCTCCCCGTTCTTTATGAAGCAGCCACAATGTGTTCTTACTTCCCTGCCCTACTGTGTGAAGGTAACTAATGTAACCTTAGCACTTATGGTGGTGGCAATAGCTTTGATAAGTTGTCTTGAGAGAAGTGACTAGTGTGAACCATTGCCAGTTATGAACATGGATAGATTTAGTAGAACCTTTGTGGTGTTTTTGACATGAACTCTCTAAACGTGGAATAACTGTTTGTTCTTTTTTATTAAAAAGTACAGTATTTTAAAGCTGTAAACTATGACACCAGGCTAAGGGTACTGATAACAAGCATATTTGTTGATATGCAATTCAAATCCTTCTTCTAAAGATCTTTTCACTAAATCATTGAATGTGTAGAGCAAAAATGGTTATGGTTCAAATGGGTTTGGTATTATTAATCCATCAGCTGTCCACTGTGGAGTTTTTCTATTGCTTGCTGACCTTCTTGACAAGGTTTCTTTGCCTGTGTGTTGCCGACAACATTGCCAGTTTTCACTTAATAATTGCTGCAGGTCAACAATGTACCAGACATAGATGACACGGTGTGAATGAGACAGCTAAGACTCTTCCCTGGGGAGCTGACCAGCACACCGAGAAAAGAACAATCAGGTACTTTGTGCACTGAGCTAAGTACTGTGAAGGATATAAAAAAAGAGTAAGTAACAGACAGGCGGACCTAATCACCAAGGATTATTAGGAGTGGTCTTCTTAAAAAATGTATGTAGCTGCAAAGTATGGAGATGAAAGCAGAAAAAAAAAAGACAGAAAAGGGAGGGAAAAGATGAGGGAGTGTTCCAGGCAGAGGAATCCGCATATACAGAAATCATGAGATAGTTTACATGTTCTAGAAACTGTGAACATAGAGCACAGCGCTTGGAGAGTGGAGGATGATGTGATCGTATGAGGTACTCTTTGTTAGACAAGTAGGCAGTGTCTGTAAGGTTGTGCAAATCATGTGGCATTGGTATATTTTCAAGGACAGCAGTAGGCTACTGTAGTGTTTAAGGCAGAGAAGTTATATGATTTCACTATTTTAAAAGCTCCTTCTAGCTATTGTGTCAGGATTAGATAGACCAAAAAATTATAAACCATTATTTTAAAAGAGATAAATTAATGGAAATACAACTCATGTTCAAAGACTGGGAGGTATGATGACAGTATTGCCCAAAGTGATCTACAGAGTCAATACAATTGCTACCAAAATCCCAACAACGTTTCTTTGTATTAACAGAAAAATTCATTCTAAGTTTCATATGAAATTTCAAGAGATCCAGAATTTCCAAAACAAAGTTGAAAAAGAACAAATCCTACATCTGATTTCAAAAATTACTACAAAGTTACAGTAATTAAATTGAATAATGACACAGTGGCAAACATATATGTAAATACATATGTAAAAATATAAAAATATATCAAATGTGTGAGTTATGTGTATATGTGTGTATCTCCAATGGAATAGAACACAGAGCCCAGGGAAAAACAGTAGTACATATGACCTGTATGGAACAGAAAGAAGTTGAACTCTTGCCTTTTACTATATTCAAACATTAACTCAAGATGGCTTAAACACCTAAAAGTACCAGATAAAGCTATAAACCTCTCAGAAGGAGACATGGGAAAAATGTTTCATGAGATGGATTTTGCAGTTTCTTGCATATGATCCTCAAATTACAGGCAACAAATGAAAAGTAAATTGTAATTCATCAAAATTTAAAAAAATTTTTTTCCTTGTTTTTTTGAGACAGGTTTTTCTATGTAGTTTATGCTGGTCCTCAACTCATTATATAGCCCAGGCTGGCCTTGAACTCACAGCAAACTTCCTGCCTCAGCTTCCCAAGTGCTGGGATTACAGATGTGTGCCACTACACCTGGCCCCAAATTAAAAACTTTTATATATCAAAAGACACTATTAATACTGTGAAAAGACAGCTATAGAATGGGAGAAAATATATTTAAATCATATATCTCTTAAAAGATTAATATCTAGAACATGTAACTATTTCTACAACTCAATAATAATAATAGCAACAAGATAAATGAAATTCAATAAATGCTCCAAGATCTTGAATAGATAAACATTTCTCCAAAGATATATGAATGGGTCATAAACACAAGAAAGGATGTTCACTATAATTATTCATTAAGGAAATGCAAATCAAAACCACAGTGTGACGCTGCTTCACACTCATCAGGATGGCTATTGTGAAACAAAACAAAATGACAGCAAAATCCAGTAAATAACAGTTGTTGGTAAGGAAGTAGGGGAGTTGGGGGTCATTGTCTATTGCTTGGTGAGAATGTAAAATGGTATAGTTGCTATGGAAAAAGTATGGTGCTTCCTCATAAAATTAGACATGGAGTTACCATATAATCCAGCAATTTCACATTGAAGGTACACATCCAAAATAATAGAAAAGATTGCACTGGGTCCACCATGCCAGCACGGGGAGAGTGAGTTGCCTCCCCATGCCCCCTCCATCGTCCAGAGCAACAGTTCTTGTGGAAAGGGTGAGGGTGGTGCCAGCGGAAAGAGTGTAAGCTTGCGCCCTGCACATCTTCCATTGCTCCAGGTTGGCAATGACAGTGGGAGGAGAGTCAGCAGCATCAGTAGGAGGAGACCCCAGGACTGTGGTGCTGGCAAGAGGAGACATCTGGAGGAAGAGACACTTCCTAGGAAAGCCTCAATATCAGTGATTAAGGCTGTCTAATATTAGAAAGCTAAAAGCACCAACACAGAAAACAAAATAAAGTAGAAAATAGAAAATGACAGGATGAAGAAGCAAAATGCAATCTCAAACATCCAGCCCACCCAGGATAACTCCAAAGCACAAAGAGATAGAGGAAATTGGAAGCCAGCAAATGGAACTGTCTGAAATGATAGCAGCAGAAGTGAAAAAACAAACGGAAGAGGCCATAGAAAAAATAATCTCTAAGAAACAAAAAGAAATCACTATCAAGATAAAAGATATTAAAGCAGACACAGATAAACAAACAGAGGAACTCAGGAAAATAATGGAAACTATGAATGAAAAACAAAAACAAGAAATGGAATCAATGAAGCATATCCAAATAGAAATGCAGGACATTAGAAGGGGGGAGATAGAACATCAGACTTAGAATACAGGAATGCAACTAGTGACCAGGAAAAGAAAACTATCTCAAAAGTCACAAGAGACCACAAAAAATCAATCCAAAAGCTACAGAATGAAGAAAAGAAGAACAACAGAGGACTGACTGGAATCAATGAGAAAACTGGAGACCGCATAAAAACCATTAACAACCTCTTCATAGAAGTATTGGCAGAAAACTTCCCAAATAGGGATAAAGAATATGACATACAAATAAGTGAAGCATACAAAACTCCAAATAGCCATGATCAAAATAAATTCCCACCAAGGCACATAATAATCAAGATTCCAGAAATTCAGCACAAAAACAAAATATTAAAAGCAGTTACAGAAAAGAAACATACCACTAATAAAGGAAAACCCATCAGAATCACAGAAGACTTCTCAACAGAAACCTTCAAGTCAAGGAGACCTTGGAGTGAAGCATTTCAAGCCCTAAAGGAAAATAATCTTCAACCTGAATTGATGTATCCAGCAAAACCATCCTTCAAAATTGATGAAGGAAGAAGATACTTCCATGACAAGGAATAACAGAAGAAACTGATGACCACTAAACCAAGTGTACAGAATGCTTTGAGAGACATATTAGAAAACACAATGAAGACCACATATGCAGGCATACCAGTAGATGGAAGTCACCAGGCAAGGGAAACAGTTAAACAGAGCAGAAAGACAGGTAACAAACAACAGGGAAACAACATGGAAAAGAAAAGCCAATGTATATCAGTCATAACCACAAACATAAATGGTCTCAACTCACCAATCAAAAGAAACAGACTGGCAGAATGGATCAAGAAGCAACATCCAACAGTATGTTGCATCCAAGAAACCTAAAAAGACATTTATAGAAGAACAGTCAAAGGATGGAAAACAATTCTCCACACTACAGGAAACCAGAAAAAAGCAGGTGTAGCTATTCTATTTACAGACAGTGCAAATTTTAAGCCAACACTGATCAAAAGAGAGGAAGAAGGTCACTACATATTAGTTAAGGGAAAATTCCAATTAGAAGAGATAACAATCGTAAATATTTATGCACTGAACACAGATTCACCTAAGTACATAAAACAAATCTTAACTGACATGAAAAATCAAATAAGCCCTAACACAATTATAGTGGGGGATTTTAATACCCCAGTCTCACAAATGGATAGATCAACTAGACAAAAATTTAACAAAGAAATATTAGAATTAAACCAAGCCTGCGACCCAATGAACTTGGTAGATGTCTACAGAGTGTTCCACCTCAAAAACAAGAGAATACACATTCTTCTCAGCTGCACATGGGACATTTGCCAATATAGATATGTATTAACTGACAAAACATGTTTAACTAAATGTAGAGGAATTGAAATCATTCCATGCATACTATCTGAGCATAGTGCAGTGAAAATGGAAATCAATGACAAAGGAAACCTCAAAAACTACATTAATAGATGGAAATTAAACACACCCTTCCAAACAACCAATGGGTCATAGAGGAAATTAAAGGTGAAATTAAACACTATAAACAATTAAATGATAATACTGATACAACATACCAAAACTTATGAGATGCAATCAAAGCAGTCTTAGGAGGAAAATTTACAGCGATGAAGGCACACATCAGGAAAGCAGAACAAGCTCAAATAAACAACCTACTGTTAAACCAAACTTCTAGAAAAAGAACATATCAAACCCAAAGCCTATAAGATGCAAGATATTATAAAGATAGGAGCAGAAATCAATGCAATGGAGACTAAGAAAACCATACAAAGAATCAATGAATTGAAAAGTTGGTTGAAAAAATAAATGAAATTGTTAAACCCCTAGCCAATCTCATCAAAAAGAGGAAAGGAAAAACACAAATTCAAGCAATTAGGAATGAAAAAGGGGAAATCACAATGGGTCCTACAGAAATCCAGGAGATCATCAACACCTACTATGAGAACCTACATTTTAATAAGATGTAAAATACAGAAGAAAGAGACAGGTTCCTAAACACAATCAAACTACCAAAACTAAATCAAGCAGATATAAAAATACTAAATAACACAATTACAGCCAATGAAATTGAAAATGTAATTAAAAATTTACCAACAAAGAAAAGCTCAAGCCCTGACAAATTTACTGTGTAATTCTATGAAAAATTTAGAGAAGAACTACTGCCACTAATGCTGAAACTCTTTAAGGAAATTGAAAGGGAAGCAGTACTTCCAAAGTCATTCCTAGAAGCAAGTATTACCCTGATTCCAAAACCAGAGAAAGACCCAACCAAGAAAGAAAACTACAGACCAATCTCCCTAATGAACATAGATGCAATAATCCTTAATAAGATAATGGCAAACAGATTGCAGCAAATCATCAAGAAGATTATACATCATGACCAAGTAGGATTCATCCCAGGAATGCAGGCATGGTTCACCATACAAAAATCAATAAATGTAATGACACCATATTAACAGAACCAAAGAGAAAAACCACATGATCATCTCA